AGCAATAGCGGGTCGAGTGGTTCCTAATGATAAAAATGATACTTTGTTACTTGACACAACACCATTAGAAGATTCTGGGCCATTTGAAGTTCCAACTCCACGTGAAGTTCACCCGCATGATAACTACTTACCGGCTTGGTATGACTTTTTTTTAAAACTAGTAATACTTTGAATAAAGTTCATTAATATCATTAATTTACACTAAAATTGTTTATTCATTTATTTTTTTGTAGGCTAAATTTACCACATTTAAAGCGTATTGGAGCTTTATCGGCTAAATCAAAATAATAGATTTGAATTACTTAATATATTGAAAAATTAAATTTTTATTTCATTTAATGTTTTTTTAGAATCATTTTTTTATTTATATTAGTTTTTTATATAAAATTTCATAATTACTACATATTAATAATTTTAATAATTTTAATTTAATTTTTTTTTTTTAATAAAATCTAACCATAAATTATTTATTGGTTTTTCCCAACTCATTTCTGTTCGTATCTAATATTACTTGTCCTCGTAAAATTTGTTATAAGAATATTTTCATACCATTTTTATGAAATGAAAAACCAAACTTGGTATTCAGATATTTGTCGATTGTTTGGTCATGGTAATAGAAAAAATTTTCTTTAGTAAATTACAATTTGTAGGGATATGTCATACGACTAATAGGACACAGATATATGATGAGAGTAATTGCGGTGGTTAATGATGGATTTGTAGTGAGTGGTCAATATTTCGGATTAGATGAGTAAAGCGGTGTGGTTTAGGGGGGTTAGGGAGGTGTTAACATGCAGATTTTGATGATACAATCTTCGATGTGCATCTAAATTTAAAAAAAAGATAAAACCAAAGTCTAAGCGATATGTTATTTTGTTTTATCTTCATCATAGCTCAAATTGACTATAGTGCACTATATAGACCATTCAGTTAGAGAAGGTAAATCTACCGTAACGGCATCTCCCCAACATAACAGCAGATCTAACATCTTTCAGAAAGATCCACCCAAGTGGCACAGAATCTTCTAATGGTGTTGTGTCAAGTAACAAAGTATCATTTTTATCATTAGGAACCACTCGACCCGCTATTGCT